ATGGTAGTTAAAAGTGTTGAGTGAGTGACACATTGTTCTTGTTACTGTCCCTAATATACAGCAGTTAATGTTAGCTTCACTCAACATGAGTGGCGTAACTATCAACGGTGCAGCCGACGGCCAGGGGCCCAGAGCCGGCCAGGGGCCCAGAGCCGGCCAGGGGCCCAGAGCCGGCCAGGGGCCCGTGCAAAACAACTACCGGAGGGACCGAGGATTCGAGGAGTCGAGGAGGGGAAATGAGTGAAATGAGAATGGTTCTTGGATGTGGATCCTAAAGTGTATCATGGGTATTGTCTGTGATGTCAGGCTGTATGCAGTTGGCCCTGAGCAGCTTGTGTGAGCAGCCACCAGAGGGCAGCATGGTGCAGGTTTGAACCAGCAGCTGACAGGAGGCTGATGGGATGTTAAACCCAGCAAAGATAACAGCATGCAGCTCGCTCTGTAGTATGAAACAGATTGATACACATAGACACAAAGAAATACAACATGCAGTACAGGTTGATGTGTGGATGGAAATATACACAAAGGATGCACTCTGTTTAGTGAAGGGATGTCTTGATTCATTTTGAGGTCCCTTTGAAGTAGTGGAGTAGTCTTGGGTCCATTATTCAAGTTTATGTGTCTGTTTATCTGCAGTCGCTTTCTGTCCGTTTGTAGTTATTTGATGTGAGGAGCCCCGATGCTTCGGCCAGACATCGCCATCAGCTGATGTTCGACATCATTTCTGCCGCAGATCTGCAATAAAAGGTGACATCAGGCGAGCTTACTTTGCTTTGGTTTTTATACGTCTCCTTTTAGTCGTTTTGCATCTATTTTCCTTTATTTATGTTGTTCCACGTGTTGTGGGGTTTTGCATCAACTTTGTCTTGTTGGCTCTCATTGTAATTGTTGCTTATTTCTTTCCCGTTGTTTTATGTTTCTTTGTGTTCGTTTAGAGTCAGTTTTCCATCAGTTTGCATCTTAGTATTGAGGTCTGTGTTTAATTCAGTAGTAATGGATTGTATTTGAGTGGTGAGTTTCTCTCTTTGGGGCGCTTTAAGTCGATATCTAAATAGCTTTACACCTCATGTTGTTGATGGTTTTGTTTGTGTCTCCTGGTTGTTGTTTTGCATCGATTGTATTTGTTCTGTATTTGTCTTTGTAGAGTTTCTGCATCCAGTTTTCTTGAGTGTGTGTGAGAGAATTAGAACTGAGAGATTTTAGCCTCTGCCGACCGTTAACATGCACTGAAACCTACATACCTCACTAGAGGAGAGCATGATAGGGTCTCTTTGACCCTTCTCTTGCGTTTGACTTCGTTTTTGATCATAAATATTGTGTTTCCATCCAATTGCCTCAAGACCTCATGTTATCCTCCACACTAGGCCTCTGAACAGAGACACGTGATGATCACCACTTGCATTCATTTTTTAGTGATACAACTTAATACAACTAATGGATCAACCGACTAGTAGAACCTCGAGAGGTCAGAGAGGGGAAAGGTTTTGGATACAGTTTTAAATATAAGATCTAACTTTTTAGTATATAGTACGTGTGTGTTGTACATTCCTGCTTTTTTTACTTCTTGCACCACAATTCTTTCTCAATGTTCTTCCAATGAAAGTGGGTGTGTGACTTCCACAGAACTGATCAAAACATTCACACCTGTGTGTGTGTGTGTGTGTGTGTGTGTGTGTGTGTGTGTGTGTGTGTGTGTGTGTGTGTGTGTGGCTTTTTTTACTTCTTGCACTTCCGCCTCCTCCATCTCCACCTCCTCCCCATCAGCCTCCTCCACCTCCTCCACCTCCTCCCCATCAGCCTCCTCCAATTCCTCCCCATCCGCCTCCTCCCCATCCGCCTCCTCCACCTCCTCCACCTCCTCCCCATCCACCTCCTCCCCCTCCTCCCCATCCGCCTCCTCCGCCTCCTCCCCATCCGCCTCCTCCGCCTCCTCCCCATCCGCCTCCTCCACCTCCACCTCCTCCACCTCCTCCCAATCCACCTCCTTTCATCATATCCAGTGCCAGGAGAGCTAATCCAAAAACCTCCTCCACCTCCTCCCCATCCACCTCCTCTCCATCCACCTCCTGACCATCCACCCCATCCGCCTCCTCCCCATTTACCTCCTCCCCCTCCACCTCCTTTCATCATATCCAGAGCCAGGAGAGCTAATCCAAAGACCTCATCACACCTCCTCTTCATCCCACCTCCTCATCAAATCCAGATCTTCATCATCATCACAGTGTCTAGACCCCGGGGGTCCCTATATGCTCACGGCTGCATTTCCCCTTTAGATATACCATTTCAGGATCTGGGTCTAACCGCCAAGGACTTCACATTTATCACATGACATGTGTAGAAGTTGAATCTAACTATATCGATAATAATATTCATTGCATCCATGGGTAGAAACATGTTTTCTTCTGCTGTAAAGTTGGGCATTTTAACATGGGGATCTATGGAAATTGCTCCTTTCTGCAGCCAGTCCCTAGCGGCCCATGTATGAACTGCAGTGTGTGGCACTTCCGTATTGGCTTCCCGGCTGTTCCCCAGAGTTTGCCGCTTGCTCACAACAGAAGGAAAATATGAATAAATAGAGGAAGATATAGAATAGTGGCAATAGTTAGGACAATCACGATACATATCACAGACAGAAACATTTATTATATTTATTTATTATAAACCTACACAGTTGATTTCACAAGCCTCATTTAATAAGCTATTACTTACTCAAATATTACTTGGCAACATGGTAGCTTATGGAAGCAAATAAGTGCCATCATGTTTTGCATTTTAAAAGGCATTGAACGCGTTATATCGTAATTTAAACAACACCGAATTCATAGCATTGCAATATTTTGTTTCGAAAACCATGCATCTGAATTCATTGGTTGTGAAATTACCACTTTAAAATTACAAAATGATTTTTTTCAATGTAAGAAAATGTGGATCCAAAAATTCAAGCTTTATAAATTCATATATTCAGGTTGCTCAAATTCGATCACTGACATTCGGATCCAAAATATTCGGTGTAAAAAAATTTGAACAGTGAAATTCAGATCCAAAGATTCAAGTAAAAAAAATGCAGATAGCAATATCCGGGACACCGAGGATAGGATAAGCAATCGAGGAGGAATGCAATTGAACCAACTGCAGACAAAAACATGGCGGAACATACGGTCAAGCCTCCGGATCCAACACTCCTCCGGTGGCCTATGTTGCTCATTCGTTAGCATTAGCGAAATGTAGTTAGTATTATCGTTAGCATCATTTGCAAAAAGCTAAGTATCATTGGTGTAATATCGCTGTTTAAATGAGCTAAAAGCTATGGAGTATTTATGTTTGTAATGTTAACAAAACACCATATTAGGCCTATTAACCTATAATTATCATTTAACCTGTTAAACCCCGAGCCTGTTTTTCAGGTTTCAGGCTCGAAAAGGACATTCCCAGAACAAATGACCATATCTTCTACAAGGGTTACATTAATAATCCTTTTTCTCAAAGTAATGATAAACCTGTGAGTTGGATGTAGAAAAGTCAGATTCAATATGTTTTTTATTTTAAAGAAAATTCAGATTGAACATGGTAAAAAACTGTAAATGATACTGTCCGTCCAAAAAATATGTTGTACTTATAGTGAAAACTAACCTTGGATGATGGGTTAGTAGACTAAAAGCTTTAGGAATCCAAAGTACAACATATAATAAGTACCCTGCATCAAGATTGATGCAAAACAAGTGAAATTTGACCTTTTTAGACACCCTTAATGTATATGTATTCAACCCTTACTGTATATGTATTCAACCCTTAATGTATATGTATTCAACTCTTAATGTATATGTATTCAACCCTTACTGTATATGTATTAAACTCTTACTGTATAAGTATTCAACCCTTACTGTATATGTATTCAACCCTTAATGTATATGTATTCAACTCTTACTGTATATGTATTCAACCCTTACTGTATATGTATTCAACCCTTAATGTATATGTATTCAACTCTTACTGTATATGTATTCAACCCTTACTGTATATGTATTCAACCCTTACTGTATATGTATTCAACCCTTAATGTATATGTATTCAACTCTTAATGTATATGTATTCAACCCTTACTGTATATGTATTCAACCCTTAATGTATATGTATTCAACTCTTACTGTATATGTATTCAACCCTTACTGTATATGTATTCAACCCTTACTGTATATGTATTCAACCCTTAATGTATATGTATTCAACTCTTACTGTATATGTATTCAACCCTTACTGTATATGTATTCAACCCTTAATGTATATGTATTCAACTCTTACTGTATATGTATTCAACCCTTACTGTATATGTATTCAACCCTTACTGTATATGTATTCAACCCTTAATGTATATGTATTCAACTCTTAATGTATATGTATTCAACTCTTAATGTATATGTATTCAACCCTTAATGTATATGTATTCAACCCTTACTGTATATGTATTCAACCCTTAATGTATATGTATTTCTTTTGAAACAGAGCCCATCATCAAAAGCCTACATCAGCCCCCCATATCATCTTACCAATAGTGGATAGGCAGTAGCAATGAGTAACCAGACTATCATGTCTAAAGGGACCTGTAACAGCCCAATGTAAAGCAATTCAATAAGTAATGCATTATTTATTGTACATTAAGTAGTTGACATCCTCATCCTTGATTTAGTCATGATTCATACCTTTCCTTTCTATGATTGACCAAAGGAAAATACATTTAATGGACCACCTTTTTGTTGTGTTGCCTTCTGAGAAGGTACCTTTTCACAATGTAATTAAACAATGTAGATCAATTCTGCATTTCAGATGTATAGCTGTCCCTGGAACTTACTCCCCGCCTCAGAACCAAACACGCCGAAGCTGCTTTTAGTTTTTATGCTCCCCACAAATGGAATAAACTTCCAGAGAACCTGAGGTCTTCACCAACGCTGAGTTCTTTTAAGTCGAGGCTAAAAAACACTACTTTTTACAGCTTACCCAGAAGCCTTTTAACTTGTTTTAGCACTTACCATATTTACAATGTCGTTTTTAAACTATTTTATATCTCATTAATGCATTGTTTTTATGAAACTGTTATTGCATTATGTTTATTTATTGTGTTCCTCTCTGTTCTATTATCATGTTTTAATAATCATGGAAAGCACTTTGAATTGCCTCTGCGTCTGAAATGTGCAAATAAACGTACCTCACCTTACTTTTGGATTAGTGTAGACCTCCAACATCCACAGACCTGTACTAAAGACCTGTAGAGTTCTACACTGGTGAATTGTGGTGTGGACAGTAAAGCACTATCACACCTTAATGTTCACTGACCCTCATCCATTCTTCCTAAAACAATCTTTATACATATTACATTAACAAATCAACAGAGGTATCATTCAGGCCTTCAAACAAACACTAGCTGTAACATACATGTGAGGGGCGTCACAAATAAAAAGAAGGTCCAACTAAAGAAACGTAATCTGGGTGCTGGCTGTCAGGGCACTGTCCCAGGAAATGTTCGAGTAATATCTCGGTTTCTGTCCGCTAACACAAAATGGCACCCTGCGTTCAAGCCCAATACTGCCTGGCAACCCTTCCAGTCCATCATGCCTGTTAAAAAAGGCCAGAGAAAAAAACATTCATGAGATGGTACAATTATATGTAAAGTACTAAAAAGCTATTTGTCTGAAAATGTAGTCTTTGCAGGCCCTGGGATGATCCTCTCAGACACATCTGGTAAACCAAAAGAAACATTGTAGTCTGAACAGAATTATTTCAGTGAATGTGGTGGTGTATGGGAACATGACCGACAGATTATACAAAACCCATGCAGCGTAACAATATGGGCAGGTCAAACAGCCAAGCTGGAGTCAAGTGGAGACTCAACGATGTAATGCTCTTTCCCTGTGTGGTGTCAAAACTCAAGTTAACTGTTCAGATGCAAATTAACAAGACAACGCTATGCAACTGAATTCATACCTCATCTCTGCAAGGTCCTTGACCATGTGCAAGTATTCATTTCCAGCCTGTAAATATGAAATGTATATCAGAATACTGTTGCAGAAACCTAAAGCCTGCTTTCATTAACTTATAACACAAACAAGACTTAAGGAAATTATGCAATACATATTCTACTTTACACATCTGCAAAACCCATTGGTTGATTTGAATATGGCATACTTTTACTACACTTAGTTTGCTTTCAAATGTACCCTCTACGCATGTTTCACTTTCATCACTGCAATCGCATGCACACACTCTTTTTTAAATTGAGCACACCTGTGGGGCTTCCTTGGGCTAGTATGAAGTAGAAGTGTGCTATTCTTACAACTGTCATTGTTTTGTATGTACCAGTTGTTCCTGACTCACAGGACCACTCAGTGTCAACCTCTCCTCGCACTGCTCTCCACAACCTTAAAACAGAACTGTCCAGTTCCATATACCACTGCAATCAAAAACATGTAACCATATCAAGATGTAGTATATTTTTGAAAAAGGCACATAGTCGTCTTGCAAAGGTAAATATAAATAACTTTGCTTTACAACTCGTTTTCTACCAACCTGTTTTCTCCTGTCTTGGACCTGTGCTGCTGCTGCACACACCACCACCTCTGTAAGAATCACAGATTAAGCTGCAGGAAACAATGTGATACACTGTTTGCCTTCATTACAGGCAGCTGCGACTGTTCTCATGTGCTTACAGGCTAGGGAAAGGTTACTGTCTAAACGCAATAACCTTTTTGATACTGCAGCGGAGGAGCTGGACGTGCATTCACAGAATAAAACAAGTCTTAATGTGGTGGTAAACCTAAATACATACAGCTCCAGTAAAAAGTTTGGGACACACTTTCCCATTCACTTAGCATCCTAATGTTTCTGGCTACATCAGTGTGGTGAACTCATAAACCAAAACATTAGCATGCTACGCTAGCATTCTGACTACCATGCTAAAATGTGACTCCAGATGGATAATAATTCAAGTAAGGCAAACTATTCAATACAAATAAACCAATCGATGACATAAAAACATTATTGTTACTTGTACCTGTGCCATGGTGGAAACTGTGAACAGTGTAGGCTATATAACAATAGCGCTTAGTATTTCTACCAACCGGTATGCCCGGGTTGCGCCACCATGTTTATGTCTGCAGTTGGACGTTGGATCAATTGCATTCCTCCTCGATTGCTTATCCTATCCTCGGTGCTATCTGAATTTGTTTTACTTGAATCTTTGGATCTGAATTTCACTGTTGGAATTTTTTATACCGAATATTTTGGATCCGAATGTCAGTGATCGAATTTGAGCAACCTGAATATATGAATTTATAAAGCTTGAATTTTTGGATCCACATTTTAATTACATTGAAAAAAAACATTTTGTAATTTCAAAGTGGTAATTTCACAACCAATGAATTCAGATGCATGGTTTTCTAAACAAAATATTACAATGCAATGAATTCGGTGTTGTTTAAATTACGATATAACGCGTTCAATGCCTTTTAAAATTCAAAACATGATGGCACTTATTTGCTTCCATAGCAGCTACTGTTCCAATCATATCGATGTAAAAACGATTGTCATTCACAAGTTCATACAAATAGGGAGATGAAATTATGAAATCATATTTTTTTGTTATTGTTATACTAGCTGGAGTACGTAAATCATTATCAGACATTAGACATAAGCCAATTAAATTGTCCTTAAGCCGTAAACTCTTGACCAAGTTAGGCTAACGTTTGCCAAAACTATTTCATAATTGCATTTACTGATTAGAATGAGCAAAGGAATGACAATCTTAAACATCTCTAGGTTATTACCTCTGAGATTACAGCCTTGAGAAAGTAGGCCCTAAGCCAACACATTTTTTCTTTTTTGTGCTTTTCGAACACCAATACAACAATGATGAGACATTGGGGATAGAAGTGGTGTCTGTCTCTCACCCATCAACTGACCTACTACAGTTCCCTAGTGCCACCACCAGGGGGCGGTAATTACATACTTAACACAATGGCAGGGCAGGGTAAAGTTCCAGACAAAATATAAGAAAAATAAATCTTCTAATGCGAAAATAAAGGTTCATACTTCACAAAAAGGACAAAAAAGCACAGCTCCGTTTGTAATGATTTTATTTGTTTATTTTAAAGAACAAGTTCACCTGCAAGTAGAATACTCTGGTTAGATAGATTATTATTATCTGGTTAGGTAACCCTAACCCTTTATATAAGTATCATTTGCAATCCAGACAAATCTGATAAGTTTCATGGGGTAGAGCACTTTGCAAGCCACTGTATAGCCACCTGAGATGTGTGTATGTGTGAGTGTGTCTGCTGACAGAGAACTTCAAGTTCATGTGAAGGTGTGAAGGGGAGAGAGGGAATTGAAAGTGAACACCCCCTCTCCCCTTTCTCTTAACATAGAAAGGAGAAAACGTCAAAAAAAGGGTTTGGACTGAACTATAGGTTAGGTTTCTGTATCCAGATACAGTATATAGAGTTTCTCTCCACAAAAAAAAACAAGTTGTACCTTTTGAATGCCTCAATTTGACCATCACTGGACCGGGTTTCTCCAATATAGGCTTAATAGACTGTATAGTATACCCCTTTCACACAGACACCCCGGGTTTTCCCGTTGGACCCATTCAGACCGCACTCTGGTCCCAGGAAAGAACCGCGTTGCCGCCGTTCACACACACGACCCAAGTCTGCGAGTTACTTTCTTGTATGTCACTGCTGAACAAAGTTGTCGCATTGCTACGTCATTAAAATGAGACGTTCGGCCATTGTTATTGTTTTAGGTTGATGGAGTGGAGCTCGCGGCACACACATCGAACTGTAAAATGCAACTGACTGGTTGATGAAAGGATTCTGCCAGGGTTGTTAACTTACAGTAGAACACAGTCCCTTTTCTAACACACTTTGTTCTGCGAGGGTGGTGGTTGAAAAAGCTTTTGGACCAAGGCGTTGTTCATTAAAGCTATTACGTTGACCTTAGTTATAACCATATGCCTGACATTGTTGCAGCTTGTTGCATTTTATATAAACATATAAAATAAGACACTGATACTGTTTTCCTCAATGAACATTTAGAGAACATTAAATATTCAGGGCTCCTCTCCCTCGGGGCCTCTCCCTCAGGGGCCTCTCCCTCGGGGCCTCTCCCTCAGGGGCCTCTCCCTCGGGGCCTCTCCATCGGGGGCCTCTCCCTCAGGGGCCTCTCCATCAGGGCCTCTCCATCAGGGGCCTCTCCCTCGGGGCCTCTCCCTCAGGGGCCTCTCCCTCGGGGCCTCTCCCTCGGGGGCCTCTCCATCAGGGGCCTCTCCATCAGGGGCCTCTCCCTCGGGGCCTCTCCCTCAGGGGCCTCTCCATCAGGGGCCTCTCCCTCAGGGGCCTCTCCCTCAGGGGCCTCTCCCTCGGGGGCCTCTCCCTCGGGGCCTCTCCCTCGGGGCCTCTCCCTCCGGGGCCCTCTCCCTCGGGGGGCCTCTCCCTCAGGGGCCTCTCCCTCAGGGCCCTCTCCCTCGGGGCCTCTCCCTCAGGGGCCTCTCCCTCGGGGCCTCTCCCTCGGGGGCCTCTCCCTCAGGGGCCTCTCCCTCAGGGGCCTCTCCCTCAGGGGCCTCTCCCTCGGGGCCTCTCCCTCAGGGGCCTCTCCCTCTGGGCCTCTCCCTCAGGGGCCTCTCCCTCAGGGGCCTCTCCCTCAGGGGCCTCTCATCAGGGGCCTCTCCCTCGGGTTCTCTCCCTCAGGGGGCCTCTCCCTCGGGGGCCTCTCCCTCAGGGGCCTCTCCCTCGGGGCCTCTCCCTCAGGGGCCTCTCCCTCAGGGGCCTCTCCCCTCAGGGGCCTCTCCATCAGGGGCCTCTCCCTCGGGGGCCTCTCCCTCAGGGGCCTCTCCCTCTGGGCCTCTCCCTCAGGGGCCTCTCCCTCAGGGGCCTCTCCCTCAGGGGCCTCTCCATCAGGGGCCTCTCCCTCGGGTTCTCTCCCTCAGGGGCCTCTCCCTCGGGGCCTCTCCCTCAGGGGCCTCTCCCTCGGGGGCCTCTCCCTCAGGGGCCTCTCCCTCGGGGCCTCTCCCTCAGGGGCCTCTTCCTGGTCTGTTGACTGTTGGTCAGGCTCATAGTCTGGATCGCTGTTGTCTTCCATTTCTGAGACATCGTCCTCTATGTCTGGTTCAATCTCCTCTTCATCTGGTTCAAAACATTGTCCAGAGCCTCTCTGACAGAAAATTGCCTACTCATTGTGTCAATGAGTCAATTGTGAGCAAGGCACAAATATAACTACATGAGAGACAGTAATGGAAGGGCATTTACTGCGAGAAAGTGAGAGGTTGTTCTTTCTTGGCACAGAGCTCGTGAGAAAGGGAGAGGTTGTTCTTTCTCAGCACAGAGCTCGCACCTGTGAGAAGCAACCTGATCTCATCAGAATGCGTGACTCCACCACGCAACCTTAACACCGCATTGCGTGGTGGAGTCACGCATTCTGCTACATTTACGTGTCGGCACCACGCAAAAAACCCCAATGTAAAGTGAATGAGGCTCTTTTGTCGTGGTGCACACACGCATTTCTACAACGTCCTGCAGTGAGCTTTTATTCTATCGTCCTGCAGTGAGCTTTTATTCTATAAAACGTTTTTAAAATCTACTTTATAGCTTTATATACTTTATAACTCACGGGAGGCTTCTTTTATTTTATTTGTATTCATAATAATTTGTATTTGTCGTCAGAATGTATTATGGTGCATTAGTCACACATTTTTGTTCTCAAAAAACAGTGCATTGTGTGTAATACAACTGTGATTTTTATTAAATTAGTTAGTTTTTAAGGAAGGCCAGAGCTTCAGCTGTGTCAATAGATTGTTCCCTTTAGTTAACGTTATTTAAAAGATAATGATCATGTCCCCTTTATTGTATTACGAGCGTCCATTCCCATTGGATAACGGAGAATTTTACACCCGGAAGTGAAGTATTCTCTTTACTGTCGATTGATTTTACAGTGATATCTGAACTACTCATCAACTCAAAAACACCAGATTATCCTTGTTAATTACACAACATTGATTGGTTTAAATTGTGTACAATGCTTTTGTATTTTTCCCTTCGATTCGGAGAAACGAATATTTGTTCGGAGTTTTTGGATGGCAGAAGACACTACACTACCCAGAATCCTCAGCTATCGTTTGGGACTACACCATGTGCTTAGCTTGACAAACCCCGTGATCAGTCCTCAAGCTCTGTGATTGGATGTTGGAGTTGCAGTGCGCGAAGTTTACACGGAGCGTCAAAAAGCACCTTGAAATGGAATGAAACCCATCGACGGCACACTATTCAAAACAGGAATCGAACGTGTCCTATCCCCCCCCCCCCCCCTTAGGTCGCAGGCTCCTCCAACAGTGCAACACAATACAACAGATACTACAGAAAAAATAGTGAAATAGTGCAATAAGAGTCTATATACAAGATTGATTGGATCTTTTTTAATTTTTTATTTAACCTTTATTACCAGATAAAAGCATTGAGATACAATCTCATTTTCAATGCTGACCTGGCCAAGAAGTTAGCAACGTTACACATAACACATAACACACACATATAAAAGAGAACATAACTAAGAAAACAAAAGACAAAAAGCAGTCACTACATTGTGAATATGATATATTAGATACATAATTTCTAAGTAGCAGCCAGATGAATGTTATGGATGTTGTTTCTAAGTTCAGGTGTTTAATAATCTTATAGCCTGTGGGATGAAGCTGTCCCTGAGTCTGATGGTTTTAGTCCGGATGCTGCGGTACCGCCTGCCAGACGGCAGCAGACAGAACAGTTTGTGGCTGGGGTGATGGGGGGCTTTTATAATCCTGAGGGCTTTCTTTAAGGTTAACCGTGGTGTTTTTACTCCACTACATGTATTTTAGTTACTTTAGCAGATTCTGATTAATGATGTGAAATATAAACAACCCTTAAATCAGACTTTAGTTACACCTGAGTAAAATTCAGGGAAGGTGATTGTCAAGTGCCAACAATCAGGAGATATTTGATAGTTGGTGCTCGAGAAGACTAAACATTTATCTGCATATCCGTATAAAGCATATTCATTACTCGTTATTCTCTAATCGTTCATTAAAGACTGCATATAATTGATATTTTGCACATCCCTTTCAAGATTTCAA